TCGCCCCTGTGTATGCAAATTAACCACCATCTTTGTTGGGTTAATTTGCATACTCTCCTGATTGGCTGGTGAGCGTAGCAGAGGGATGGTTAATTTACATGTTTGTCTATTATTAGGTAAGATATATGTGTGTATGTATATATACACATGTGTAAACATATATATGTTTACACACATATGTAGTCTTGAGTCAGTGAAAGTTGGTCAAAAAATATCTTGAACATAAAAATATTTTTCTTAATCTTCTTTCTCAATAAACAATTCTAGGAAATATCTACCCGTGATTTCTTGTCCCTTAGAAGCTGCAAAGAGGAGTGATTTTGTTTCTTTGTGTGTGTGTTTTCCCCTCCAGTAGCTGCTGAACCTCAGCTTCTTTCAAACACAAGTCAAGGAATGAGATTTCTTTTGTTGCTACCCTTTGCTTCTTCTGTACCTAATAGAAGAGTTTTCTGTTTACTGCTCTTTTAGACACTGAGGAGGTTGTGTATTTTGGGGAGTAGATTTTTCATCGCAGAACTAGGTCAAGTCGATGCCCTGGAATTCAGCACAGTATTCAGAAGCTATGACTTTCCCAGGTGACACAGGATGTATCTGTGAGGCTGGGGATGCTCATGGCCTCCCTTCTTGTTTCTTCTAGAAGTTTTATTAATATGTGTTTATGTTCATTTTTTCTTTTTAAAATATTTCACTTTGCCTTTTCTTCTCTCTAGGGAGGAAGAACTGGTTTATAGGTCAATGCTCAACCACTGAGCTGCACTTGCCAGGCAACATAGTCTTTCTTTGGTTTCTATAATTTAAGTGGCTATCAAGGTGTTATATTTTGTGTATCTCTGCAACTTGCGGATCCTTGGAGTGGTCAAGTCGGATGAGGGCTTTTATCAGTGTGTGGCTGAGAACGAGGCTGGGAATGCCCAGACCAGTGTACAGCTTATCGTCCCTAAGCCTGGTAAGAGGAGGGGGACTCTGCTCCGGTGCCTGTGGTTTCAGTTATTCGTGATCTGCTTCCCGAACCTATGGTTTTCCCTGTCTCTCAGTCGATTTGAAATTATATAATTAATTAGTTAATTAAATTATACATTTGTGTGTTGAGAGTATATTTTTCCTAGCAAATTACATATACATTTGTATATAGTTAAATGGATAGCTAAGTAGATATATATCTTAGCTATCTATTTATCTACATATAACCATCCAGTAAGATATAGTCATCATCATGAATAATAGGTACTTCTGGTTGTGAAGACAATGACCACTAAATCACTAAGTTCTCCCCTCTCTTTTGTAATCTACCTTTTTTCTTCAGCATTTTATATAAATATATATATGTGTATGTATATACATACATGTGTAAACATATATATGTTTACACACATAAGTAGTCTTGAGTCAGTGAAAGTTGGTCGAAAAATATCTTGAACATAAAAATATTTTTCTTAATCTTTCCTGCAGTAAGTTTAGTAGAAAGTAGCTGAAATGTATGAAACATAGTCTTTCTTTTAAAAAAATATTTTTATTGATTTCAGAGAGGAAAGGAGAGGGAGATAGAGCTAGAAACATCAATGATGAGAGAGAACCATTGATCAGCTGACTCTTGTACGCCCCACACTGGGTATCAAGCCCACAACCCGGGCATGTGTCCTGACCGGGAATTGAACTGTGACCAACTGGTTTATAGGTCAATGCTCAACCACTGAGCTGCACTTGCCAGGCAACATAGTCTTTCTTTGGTTTCTATAATTTAAGTGGCTATCAAGGTGTTATATTTTGTGTATCTCTAATCAAATATCTGAAGACTCAGACTCTCGTAATGCTTATAAGGATGGCTTTTTCTTTTTTCCTTATTATAACAAAAAAAGCAACAGTCAAAGGTGAGTAAAGGAACTATCTAGGTATGAAAAAGGATAATTAACTTCTGTTCGAGATCACTGATTTCTCTGATGGCCTACTTCTCTCTCCACTTAATGTGCTTTAAGCATCAGTGTGACTTCATGTGTGTGACTGAGTACATGCTCTTGTGCTGAAGCAGTAACAGATGAGTAGGAGAAAAGGAATCTCTAAACTCACAGTCTGTAATGTGAGCCCTGGTTTAAAAACTGTGCGTCATCTCATTAGCAATGACAGTGGGGCCCCCCTGATGTTAATACTGGCTGCTACTCAAGTCCCAAATTCTGGTTACCATCGATGTCCAGCTATGGCCATAAAGCTGAGGAACATCAAGGTAAGTAATCCCCTATTTCTAAAGAAAAGAATGAGATACAATTTTTTAGGATTTGTGGAACTGACCAAAGAGTCCCAGTGGTCATCTTATAGTCAATTGCTCATGAGGATTCTCTGAAGTGCTGAAATCCACAGGATTAGAGATTGTCATGGTATTTTCTCCCCCCACTAGTCAAGTTGTAGAGACACTAAGAAAACCCCTTGAACAGTGTGTGTGTGTGTGTGTGTGTGTGTGTGTGTGTGTGTGTGTGTGTATCAGGATGCTAGCAAAAAATGAGAAATGGCAACTCATTCTGAGGGAAAGCTCTCTGGAACGTCCCACCATGCTGGTAGAGAAAGGGGGAGGCAGCTGTGGGGACAAGTTCCGCTTCCCCCTGTGGGAAGAACACAGGTGTGAGCTGCACTGGAAGAGAGCCGGGCTGCAGGTATCTTGAAGGGACCCTGCCCAAGAGGTCCTGCTCGCTGAGCCCAATCCATCCAGAAGGCTAGAGGGTCACTGTCTGGGGTGGAGCTGGACTGGGGAGCCGGTGTGCAAGGTCAGCTGGACTGTGTCTTGCCTGTTTGAAGGAAGGATCCAGTGATCGATTCCTAAGGTGGAGGCGAGCTGCCTCACAGAGAACAGGCATGCAGAAACCTTCTGTGGTGGTCGAGTTTTAAGAGCACAAGTTGAGAAAAACAGCCTTTGTATCTTTATTCTAATTCTATCCTCTCTTCTCTGATCCTGGAAAAGCCATAAGCAGAGGATGGGAAAATAGATCCAAGAGACTGAAAAAACAGGTGACAGATAGTCCGACTACTCCTTCCCCATTCCTGGTCTCAGGCCTACTCTGGGACATGGGAAGAAATTTTACAGTGAACATTAGGTTAATGTTTGATTTAGCTCTCGTGTGTGTGTGTGTGTGTGTGTGTGTGTGTGTGTGTGTGTGTGTGTGTGTCCCAAGTTGCTATCAGAGGTAAGAAAAATCTGACAAAGTGTCTTTGAAAGTAGATGCTTATAATATTTCAGTAGTTTGGCTTAGTCAATAGACCAATTATAGAAATTCAATGTCACTTCCAGCCTTACCAACAGGCAGCCCTTTATTAGCGGTATCTTGCACTCCACTAGGGCCCTGATTCATTTGGTCTGTGTGACTGTAAAAGAGCGAGGCTCCCCAGGGCAGGAGCATCCTTTACCTTCTCGCTAGGGGAAGCCTCAGAAAATCTCAATAATTCATTCCTCTCCCATCTAGATGGTAAAGTGTTGTCAGTAGATTCTACACTCTTGGCCACTGTTTTTCATACTTGGCATTGTATTAGAATGAGAGTAAAAGAAAATAAAGACAAACATCCAAAAGTGTGACAGGACACCATGGTGACTGTCTCACATGGCCCATTATAAATGATTAGAGGCCCAATGCATGAATTCGTGCACAGGTAGGGTCCCTAGGACTAGCTGGTGATCAGGGTCGATCTGCGGAGCAACCGGGGGGGTTATTGGGGGGGGGCCCGCTGGCACCCGCCTTGGCTGGCCTGGGGCCTGCAGGCTGGGGGCAGCTCCTGCATTGAGAATCTGCCCCCTGGTGATCAGTGCACATCATAGTGAGCGGTCGTTCAGCCGGTCGTTCTGCCATTTGGTCAATTTGCATATTAGGCTTTTATTATATAGAATGGGTTGCTTTTTCCTGCCTTATTCAATCAGGTCTTCAAAGAATAGCTCCCTGATTCCTTAGAGATGCAGGGTAGGCTGCGTGGAAGAGGTCAGCTCTCATATAAATGCGGCCCTGAGGCTGACCACGATGGGAAGGACAGAGCTCTCTCTGGCTAAGCTTTACCAATAAACAGCCACCGTGTATTTGGGACACACTGTGGGCCCGCGTTACACAGCCATTCAGCTCTGGCCTGTGCACAGGCTCGCAGCTGAGTTACTCTTGGCAACTGTCACAGTCTGCTTCTCCCTGAAGCACACGCTGTGACCCCTGGGAGCCAGGGCCCATTGTTGAGATATTTACATAAGCGTAGTGAAGTTTCAGCATAGCCTTTCATTGTATAATTAGCGATTCTCTCTTTAGCCATTAGTGACTTAGGAACTAAACATTATCTACTGAATTAAATTACGGTAATGACTTATTTTTCTCTCCAGAAAATTAGTTTGGGAAAAACATTGAACTATGTGCACTGTAACATGTGAGCTATGTACCTGCTTTCCAGATAAAGAAGCTCAATGGTATTTTTTTAAAAATATTACAGTACAGGAAGTTCTATCAATAATATACAACCCCACATAAAGATGCAAACTGCTTCCTGTCTCTCCATATATGCCTACACATGCACCTGCACACACAGAGGACGGCCCCCTGAACACTTAACAATACTTTGCATATACATCAAAAATGCTCCTCTATATTCTGTAAGGGGTGATGAATCCAAATTAAAATAGTTTAACTGATTTATATTACTTGTGTTGTCTACTAACCTCATCCAAGAACTAAGGGAAGCTTTATTGTTTTTGCTTTCTTTAATCTATTTTAGTGCCGGGGGCCATTGATTAAGATACCCCCTTTCCAAATAAGTCCCCTATTCAGTGACTAGCCCAGCCAAAAAGGGTCCAGAATCAATGTTGTCACAAGAATAAGAAGTTTCAATAGCCAGGTTTCCAAGCCAGGTAAGCAATAAGTTAGCATCTAGTTGGTATAGCAGATGCTAATGAATTAATTACCCTGAGTCACCATCCAATAAGCCAGGTTTGGCAGAGGTGGTAATTAAATTAAAAAGACTGGTAGCTGGGGTGAAATGTTAGCAGTCTTCTGGTGCTAGGAGGAGGAGAGTAAGGGAAAAAGCAGAAAAGATCAGTAGGTATAAGCTGTTATCTCTGAGTTAGCTCTCCCGGTTCTAGCTGTTGAGTAGCATTCCATTTCCTAGCAATCGTCTGCCATGGAAGGTAATCAGAATACCTAACTGTTGGGCAGGGAATTTGACGGACAGGGAGCTGGCAATGCAGCTATGATTGTGGCATATGTCATCTGGAATATTTTTTAAAATATTTTTTATTGATTTCAGAGAGGAAAGGAGAGGGAGAGATAGAAACATCAATAATGAGAGAGAATAATCATTGATCTGCCTTGTGCATGCCTCACACTGGAGATTGAGCCCACAACTTGGGCATGTGCCCTGACTGGGAATCGAACTCGTGACCTCCTGCTTCATAGGTCGGTGCTCAACCACTGAGCCACACAGGCTGGGCAGTCTGGAATATTTTTAATTTAATGACAGAAATGGGTGAAATTTTCATGGGAGAAATAATATATTTTTCATATCTACTATGCACAAAAGGCTATGTGATTGCAAAAGAAGAGATTCTATTATAAATATTATGTCTCCTATGTTAATATTGAATATTTTCTAATTCTGGCTTTGTTTCTTTCCTTCAACAATGTAACTCAGTAGTTTCCCACTATAGGATGAGAAATACATTGGCTAGGCATTTAGAAAAATGTGAGCTGTCCTCCCTGGAAAAGATTAGTGATTAAAAATGATGTTGAATTTAAGCATTTTATTAAGGCAGTATGTCATAGAGCCTAAAATTAGCAAATGTGTTTTTAATTCAGTCATGAACATTGAGGCATCAAATCAGAAGTCATTTGCATCTGTTTTTGTAACTTGTTCCCTATCAATAGGAAAATACCTTGCAATCCAAATGGACAAGAGGAATATTTGTATGCACCCCATATAATTATTGTATATTAACTGCAC